CTCTGACACTGCAAATATTTCAAAATAGACTCTTTCCCCATAGCAAAAGGATGTAATAATTCAAAGATTGATGATGATGGGTGCTAAAATACCTTGCCAATGAGCATGCTCTGACTCTGCACACTAAATCTTCAGTGACATGGCTCATGCAAGCAATTAAGACAATAGTTTCTCTTGTCTGTTTGGGAAAAAAAAATGCAGAGATTGAAATTGAAAAAGAAAATTGAGGAATTAATCACATCTCAGCTCTACAGGGGAATGTGAGGAACAGGAATATTTGGTTCTCTTTCTCCATTCTAAGCATTTCTTTCTGCTCAAACCCCATGAAGAGTTGATTCAACTCCTATACAATGCCTAAAGATACGGGGACTGCTCCCACAGGATGAGGGTGTGCAAGTTAACTTGTCAGCTGAAATGTGAGGTGCTGCTCACACAAACATAGTTTCCTTCCAAACACATTTTCCAGCTCACTGACATCCCTCCAAGGAGTATCCCACCATCACGGCTGTTTCAGGAAGTTGCTATTCCAATGGCACTTACTCCATTAAGTGCCAATTTATAACACCCCCCCCCAAGAAAAAGGTACATTTCTTATTCACAAACAGGTCCACTATGAAGTTCTGACTGTCATGTGCCTCTAATGGCTCATCACTGACATAAAAAGTTGCTTTTCTGTGCTTGTGTAGAAAGAACGACAGATGAGAAGTGATTGGAGCTGGCCAGCTCCAAGGAGTTTAACAGCACATGATACATACAAATTGCAAGATACTAAACGATATTTTTCTTTCCTTTGCTTCCCACCATTTGACTCTTCTGAAGGTGAAAGTTTAAACCCATGCTAAACAGGAAAAAAATGCAGGGGATTCTCGTGTTCTACTTTGAGGAAACAAAGTTATGATACAACAGAAATCGTGACATCTGTGCAATGTTCCCTTGCAGCTCAGGGTGCTGCAATTTAATTCTTTAGAATTGATTCACTTATTCCATTACCCAGCGATACTTTTTTGAAAAAGGGCACTTGGGTGGATAAAACACATGATAACAAAGATATCTTTTCAGTCCTTCTGTGAAAAAAAAATTGATTCTATAACTAAAATGATCCAGTATGGTTCTTCTCCTTAATGATATTACCCTTTACCTTTCAGGATCATCATACAGTGCCTGGACGATTCTTTTTCTCTTGTAGTCTGGGAAACCACTGGCATCCAGATCAGACACAGGTTCTCGAACTTGTCAGGTCTCCTACAAGAAACTGGTAAGTTTTACAGATGTAAATCCTACAGATTTTGTCAGATGCATAATACAAGCACTAGTGAGCAATTATATCAATGCAAACCCACTGAAAATATGGCTGCTTTCACTGATGGGTCTTGTCCATGCTTTAGACACTTAACAGTAATGTTCTCCCTAACTGTTCATTTTGTGCTGAACTACTATAAGCAGAAAATAAAACCCAGGGAGAGGGAATTAAAGCATGTGTTAATAAAAAACAAGCCATATGCTTGCACCAGAATATAAAAATAATCCATGTACTTGCACCAGAATTTTTATTGTCTCCATCAGGCTCCTGCAGCCTCTAAGTCTGGCTCTGTTGACTCAACTGAAAAAGGTATTGCCCACCTGTCACTGAACTTAAGAAAACAGCAGTAGTATTTCACCATTCAATTACCAGATGTAAAATTACTATCAGTTTATATCAGTAGCCACAATCTAGTAACTCTGACATTTGAAAACAAGCAATACTGGAGATAGGATGGATAAGGGAAAATACTGCAGAGTCATGAGCAATAGATTTTAACAACAGAGGGAGCCGAATTCAAACCTGACACATGAGGAAGGTATTCCATACGTCTTTGTGCTGAGTGCTTGGTTTAGATGTGGACTATGCCTGGTGTATAATTATGCTAATAGCTGTTAGCCAGATTAGATCACACAGTCTACTTGGGAACATGTTGATTCTTGATCCTGCCAAGTGACTTCTCAGACTTTGCAGTCAGGTAATAACCTGCCTGTAGAATGTAGATTCTAAAGGAGGAATTGTCAGGAAAGATGAAGAGTCCCAGAGCACTGAGAGCACCACTCAGGAAAATTTCCTTTGACTTTTGTCTCTTTATCACAGTTAAAATCCTGTGTCTGCCCCCCTCTGTCAAGAACGAGGTGCTCCAGCAAGTACTATGTAGATACCACAGCAGCTTCTGGTTTAAAAATAGTAACCAGCAACAGAGGTACTGAAATCGAAAGGGTGGAAGAAAAATAAAAAAGAAATGGTAAACTGTATTTCATATTGTAAGAAATCCACAACATGAACTTATGATTTCTCATTTAAACCAAGTTCCCATGCTTTTCCCAGGAATTCCTGGAACAGATGTACAATGGCACTAAACCTTGTCATTACTAATGCTTTAGGCAGTACACCAGAGCTGTGTTACATGACTGCCTTGTGTGGTAAGTAATGAAACTTCACCTATCTGATACAAACACCTCAGGTAAATAAACTGGGAAATCAGTGTTTTTCTGCTGATGCAAAGTGACATGAATATGAAAATCCCTCACTACTGACCAAGTACTTCAGAATAGGCTTCTTTTGTTATCTCTCCAGCAGATCATTTTATCTGAAAGAATTTATTTCCCCAATCAAAATTGCCATCTTGCACTTCAGGCTAAATGCTTACGGGCAGAGACATGCAGCACTATTGACTTTAATATTTGCAAAGTAAGTTGCTTTTCTAGGGAGGAAATTGCTGCATTGCAAAGCTATTTCCTGCCTTATACACACAGAATTAAATCTCAGATCTGTTTTAGACTGGATGTCCTTTCACTTTTCCTGCTCTAAAAATCCAAGCCAATAGAAGTTACCCATAAATGGTTGTCATGCTGTAAATCTCTACCAGTTTCTTACTCCCTCTTCTCTTTCATGTTTTTTACTTCATACTAGGGAAATGTTGTAAAATCACACATAAATAGTCTGCTTGAGCCACCAATGCTGGGAAATTTTCCCCTGAAATCTACTACAACAAATGATAACTATTTTCTATATTAAGCAACAAATAAAAGTAATGGAAGTTTCTCAGTTCACTGCAGTTTTGGATGCTATTCTCATTGGTATCAAATTTTATCACTGGTGGTATCCCTTTGAAAATATGTTTAATACAAATGTCATTTTATGGATGTTCTGTATTAACTAAGGTGAAATTATGGTGCTGCTGAAGACAGCGAGACTTCACTGTGGCCAAAGAGTTAATTTCATATCACAGCTTTTCAAAGAACAAATGAAATTCAGGCTATGTTTTCTGAATGACAAAATTGGATCTTTTGGCTGAAGTGATTAAATACATGATAATTAAAACATTATGAAAGGTGGCTTTTTTTTAAAATAAATTCTGTGAAACATTTATACAGGATAAGTAGTATAACTCCTAAGTTTGATGGGTTTCTAAAAGGCTACGTTGTTGTGGTTTTGGAGTGTGACAGTAAGTTTTTACAGGCCTGGAAAGAAAGTGGGATTTGAAACTTTTTTTTTGGCTATGTAACTCCTCACAGCAGAGAGAAATCTCTAACAGTGACCTGGGCTGGATTTCAGAGTAAAGCCTCTCACTGGTAGGCTGCATGTGTTTTTTGCAGCACTGCGAGTGTTTTGGAACTGTCTCTGATTCTAAGGGGTTCTTTCTCCTATGTTAACTACAAGAGCTTGTGAGTATCACTGTATAGTTTTGTGTTATTGCCTACAGATTAAGCTTCTTCTTTAAGCATCCAGGGCAATAATCAATACTTGAGTCAGTTTTGTACCCTGAAATGCAAGGAGACTAGCTTAAATTAATAAATAATTTTATAATAAATTAATTGGATCTTTCATATGTCTTGTTCAATCTGATGAAGTTCAGCCTTTGTACTTCACAGGATTTGGAAAACCTACTGACAATGACAGACCACTCTTTATAACGTTAATGTGGCTTTACCCAGCAGCTTTGTTGCTGTCCTTTCTTGGCACTTATATCCTTCCTGCTCATGCTATTTCTCTCCTGTATTTATGACATGATAGGTGATCGATATGCAAGTTATTGTATCTTAGCCAAAAATACAGTTTCAGTAAGGTATAGGCAGCAGGATCATCAAGATAAAGATCTTTGAATGTGGATTATATGAGTAATACATTAATAATAAAAGATGGTAAAATCACAAAATAATGTAGAAATAGAATGGTGAAATCAAAAACTAATGTAGAAATAGGAAGTATTGTGAGGTATTTTTAATGTTTATGAGTTTTGAGAAGATTCTTAAGAAAAAAGGGAAAGAGAATCATTTTGATAACCGATGTAGAAAAAAACACGTCTTTGTTAGTATGTAATGACCAGAAGAGTCAAACTGCCTCTGATGGTATGTTAGGGCCTTAAAATGGATAGAAAAAATAATTTTAACTGCCTTTGTTGTGTAAAACGTCAATCTTTGTTAAAGTCACTGGGTTTTTTTTAACGAGGGCATGTCAATGCCATGTTTTGCTGTCTCAAGCAGATACTAATGACTGAAGAGAGGAAGATTTACCTCATTGAATCAAGACCTTTGAATCTACAGCAATAATTTTCCTCACTCCCCTCACCGCCCCTCCCTGCCCTCAACCTTCACCGCCCTCAGCGCCCTCGCTCAGCCCCCCTCACCGCCCCTCACTCATCGTCCCTCACGGCCGCTCTGCCCCTCAGTCAACGCCCCTCATCGCCCTTCCCTCACCGCCCCTCGCTCCCCTCACCGCCCCTCGCTCCCCTCACCGCCCCTCACTCATCGTCCCTCACAGCCGCTCACTGCCCCTCAGTCAACGCTCCTCATCGCCCTTCCCGCCCTTCCTCACCTCCCCTCACCGCCCCTCACTCCCTTCAGCGCCCCTCACTCCCTTCAGCGCCCCTCACTCATCGTCCCTCACAGCCGCTCACTGCCCCTCAGTCAACGCCCCTCATCGCCCTTCCCGCCCTTCACCGCCCTCGGCGCTGCTCCCCGCCCCGCCCATCCCGAACCGTGCAAGGCGCTGCCGCCGGGAACGGTGCGTGGTTCTCGGCGCTCCCGGACCCCGGTGCGCCGTTCCCGGTTCCGCCATGGCACGGAGGAGGCGCGTCCCGCCGGGCCGGTGCCGTCCCGCAGGTAGGGGCCGGGATGGCTCCGGGAGCGGTGTGAGGGGCTCTCCCGGCGCTCCGTCCCGGACAGACGGCACTCCTCCACTGGGAGGAGCGGCCGTGCGGGAGCGGGGCTGGCTGAGGCGGGTCCCGCACCCGGCCCGTCTCTGGCGCGCTCGGTGTGCGGGAGCAGGGCTGCGCCCCTCGGGGATCGGGAGGGACGGGGACAGAAACGGGTGTCCTCCTGTAGTGAAATACCTTTTTAGGGTGCCAGCCCTATTCCTCGCCTCCTGTCGTAACGTGAGAAACTTCCTTTCCCCCCTCTGATGGCACTCTGAGGGAGCCTTCGAGCACAGCCGCCTGCTCCCGCCGCCGCGCTGCCCGTGCGAGGCTTGTGTGGGGCTAGTAGCGGGTTGTGAGGGAGTTGTAGCAAGTGTTTTAGCTCACGCCGGGTTTTTTTTGAGGAGCCTGTAGATGCGTACAGAGTGTGAGCAGCTGCTGGGCCAGCCCGAGAGCTGTGCGGAGCACACGAGTGCGTGCGCTGTGTCCCGCCTGTCCTGGGGCACAGCGGAGCTGCTGCAGGCTCACCTGCAGAGCTGAGGGACAGCCCTTAGAGCTGAGGAACACTCACCACAGACACAGGAACTAGAGTTCGCCCCGCTGTAAGAGGAGCACTTACTGTCCGAAGAGCACAGGCCTGGCTTGTGTGTCTCTCTGTATCTCTAAGATGTGTTTTGCTTTCTTGAAAGTATTTTTTGTTCATTTTGGGGGTTTTAAGCATACTTTCACGTGAATTTATGATATAAGTAGTTTTTCAGCCTCGCTGGTGTCTAGCCCTTTGCTGGATGCCTGTGCGTGTGGCAGGGACGGCTGGGCCGTACCTGAAAGGGCCTTTGCAGCCCTGCAGTCAGTGACCTGGGGCGGGTTCTGGCCGTCCTGAATCTCCCTGACAGGGAACTGCAGCTTGCAGTCTTGCAAGTGTGCAAGTAAGTTGTGGTGAGGCGTGTCTGTGACTGCAGTGGGGCAGCTCTGGCAGAGCGGTGGGGTGGCAGGAGTGATTTGAAACATGCATGAAGTGAACAAGGTGGTTCCAGTGGACACCTTTATTCTGACATGGATTCAGCTGAGCTCAGGGCTTAAGTTTAAATAAAGTTGGCTTTATTTAATCTGGATGTGTTGAGTTTGGTTTTGTGTTGTGGGGGTTTGTTTTTTGGTTTGGGGTTTGTTTTTTTTTATTTGGTAGGAGGGCATAAGGGGGGATGTTCCTCCTTTCTTTTTTTACTTTAAAAATACATGTTGTTCTAAATATGGAAAATAGTAAAGATTTAGGCCTTTAACTGTTAGATTACATGGCTAACAGGGCACTTATAAATACCCCAAAACTGAACTCTGTATTAAAACTCTGACATAGCTTTCCAATGCTTTGAAGAACAAATTACAAAACAGCTATATAGTGTATCCCAGAATTTAAAATATCCTCCTGAAGAGGGAGAAAGTGTTTCTTTCAAGAGAATATTTTAGATAACTTTGTTCAGAATTGAACTTTCACGTATGCCTCAGAACTTAAATTGTTATTGTTAGGTTGCCTGTAGCTCAATTAGTGCTAATTGGTTTTGTGATTGGCAGATATCTTAATAAAATATAATTAAACATGTTGGAACACAAGCAGTATGCAGCTGGTTCTTATTTGCATTACTTATTCTAGGATACCTTGAACTAATCATGAAATCTTTATTGCTGTTAGTGATACTGTTCCAAAACCTGAAAGTGTTCAGATGTTGGTTTGGTTTTCTTTTTTATATTTAAAATACAAATCTCAGATTGTAATAGTGTCTGGGGAAGAATGCATATAACACAGTGATTTAGTATAGTTAGCAGTGACTGAAACCTCTCTGATTTCTTGATTATGGTATCTGGCAGTTGATTCAAGTCTGCCACGACACAAAACTCTGAAGCCTTTACTGGATCTCTTTGGCTACTCCTGTGCGTGCATGTGTACAAATGAAGCGTGGAAATAAATACTGTCAGGTGATTTCTGGTTAACAGTTATCTGGGGTATAAGTATTCTTTTGTTCTCCAAGTGTATGTAATTTTGTAGATTTTTTACTTAAATTGTACTTTCTTCTTGCAGTTAAAGCTGGAGGTATGAGAGTGTCTAAAAAGCAAGAATATGGACGTGTTGAAAAAACTGCTAAACCTCCAGGAAAAGAAAAGTCAAGGTACTCTGCAGGGCCTGCTCCCCTCTGCCCCATAGTTCAAGTTTGTAGGTAATGGCCTTTGAACACAAAGAAAACTCCTTGACTCTGGGAGTTTAATTCTTAAATTAACTTGTGCAAAATATAGATAAAAGGCAACTTTTGAAATAAGTATCAACTTAAAAAAAACCCAAACAAACAACAAAACCCAAGTTCAAAACCCAAGGACAGTGCCTTGCAATGAAAGGCAAAGACTGCGTGTCATTTTTATTGTCATGTGTTATGGATCAGAAATTAAAACAAAGTATTGCCTGCCTATGCCTAATAAAGAAGTGGTCAAATAGTTTCCAGTGAAATCAGAATGAATTTTAGGCTGTCCACATTCTGAAGGAAATTAAACCTACATTGCCCACCCCTAACAAAGAGTCTGTTATGTCCTGTATTGGCTGTAGCCCATATTTCAGTCTGAAATGTAATTTGGCTTTCTCTGTTTCCTACTTCATAAGGGTAATCGAGCTGTTTTGCCCCAAAAATGAAGGCATGCTTCTACTTTTCAATAAAGTAGCCGTGATGGGTTGATGCCATCATTAAACCAAGTATTTTCTTACAGCTTTTTCAAACACAGACTGAACATTTTTCTAAAATATATGCACTTTTCTTAAATGTCACTTAACAAAAGGTTAAGTTGACCAATGTAGGAATATGAGGGTATAATTTGAATGACTTTTGGTGTTCATGAAGTTTTGACTAATTGTTGTTTTTTTTTCTGGAATTAGCAACTTTTTACTTATTACCAGTTGTCTGAGTGTAATTTTGCTACTGTCTTTCATAGTTGTAGTTACCTGATGGCATAAACAGATCTTGAATAACTTGTATCTGTCAGTGTAGTAAACTGTTGATTGCTGAATTGCAATGTCGGTAGGAAATGTCCTGCCTGATCCACAGAATCATTAACTTAACTAAAGCAGTCTCTGCTTTTTCAAGAGTCACACTGTAGTATCTGGTTTTCATAATGATTTTTCTCTGCTCCATTTTAAGCTACAGAGGTGTCAGTGGATATAATGGTTTCATCAGAAGAATGTGCAATCCAAAGTGCTTTCTGTTGTTCAGCTAGATTATTTCATATCCACAGGTTGTTTATTTGTGAAATATTGGTAACATGGTGGTCTTCATTAGAATATGGAGAACTTAATGGGAGAATCTTGTGAAAAAAGTTCTTGCTTGACAGATAACTGCTGTGAAAGTAAATACTGCCTAAAAGCAGAGGGGTGAATTTTTTTCATGGGTCTCGATTGGAATCAAGAAAATTACAAAGTTGGCTTTTGTAGTTCAGGATATTAGTGCTCACCTTCTGTGAAGCTACTCCACAGTGTACAAAAAAAAAATCCTTTTTGAGGTATTTGATGATATTTCATGTACAGATTTTCAAATAAAACAGCCTGCAACACAGATTTTGTGGTGTTCAATTCTGAAAAGCATGCCCTTTTTGGATATTATATGGTCTTTAATGTGATTAAAGGATTTAGTCCAAGACCTAAATTTCTATTGCAAAATATTTTGTATTGAGTCTGAAAATCGAAGTGACAAGTGTTTCTGTGAGATGGAAATGCTAAATACTTTTTTTTTTCTGCTTTACAGTGCTATTGTCAGTCTTTCAAAACCTCAGAACATGGGTGTCTTGGTAGCAGAAGCACTGAGCAAAGTAAGTAAGTCTGGAAGAACAAGTCAGGGGTTCTCCATAAAGCTAAAAAAAGTGAATTATTCTTAAGCTGCTGTCATTTGGCAGTTGTAGGTTTGTCATCTGCCACTAAATGTTGATGAAATAATCTGTTTATGTAGTGGTTGTGTGGCTGGGGTGCTCGGTGTCTAAAAAGGACCTGCTCTCGTTCTGCTGGTGGTGCAGACTTACACCTGTGCTTTGCCAGAGCCCATTTCACAAGCAGCTCTCTGATTTGCATGGGATCTGAAGATCTGACAGTTACCATCTCCTTGTTATACACTTAGAATCTTCAGATTCTGAAGTATCCAAGAGTTCCTCATCCCTTGAGCTCCGTAAAACATCAGTTGCATTGTTTCAACACAAGCCTTTCATCAACAGATGTGTTTATAGCTTTAGTCTGTAAATCTGAATGTTTGGCTTAGAATTATTTAAAAAGAACAGATTCAACTGATCTGTTTCTTTTCCCCTTGTCCCCATCCCCTCTGTTCTGGCCTTCCATTTCCTTCTCCTGCTGGTTTCCAGAATCTCATACGTGAAGCTTCCTCAGTAGTTTAGAAAGTTATAATTAGACACTGTAATGATGATGATTTTGAAGCTGGGAAAATGCGAACTTGAATCAACTCACTGTTAACTTTGGCATATTGATTATTTGCTGTGCTTTCCTTATCTCGGCAGCTCATTTTATGAACTTCTAAGAAAGGGGGAAAAAAAAGTTCACTGAAGATAGGCAGACTAATATCACTTTGAAAACAGAAATATAACTAAGTGTACTGAGTCACCGTGAGTTTTATGTATTGATCACTTGAAGTTTTTGTGGATTTAAGTTTTACTGCTGTTTTTGAACTATATGATGAAGTTTAGGAAGAGAATAACTGAAAAACTATTCTATCACAACCTTTTTCTCCCTTGTTTAATGTTACAGATGAGCCACAAAATTCATGCAGCAGCATTACAAGTGGCTCACCAAAAGCCACAGCCTACCTTGGAGAAGTTCATACTGCCTAAAAGAATTTACATTATTCAACAGCCACGGAAATGTTAAGATACTCGTTAAAATATTCATTTACTGAAAAGTGAGTTCCTATTTTATATAGCACTTAGCACACTGTGCTGAAATGCTCAAAAGTTGTGTGCCTTGTATCTTGCTATGTTTCTGTTACTTACAATAAAACACTAGAAGAATTACTAAATGTACTCAGGATTTATTACAGTATCATGGCTTCTGTCTAACCTGGTGTTTCTAGTGTGTAGTAATTGCTCAATGCCAAAAAGTCTTAACAGCTTCGCTTACTGTGTGAGTTTTGACTGAAGGAATGGAAACTGTCAGCCCTGCAGTTTTTTGTTTGGGTTGGTTTTTTTTAAATTTAATGATAGCAAAGCTGAAGTGAACATGATACTAAGAAAGCAGGTCCTGACTGAAAGGTGCAGGGTGTGCTGAATGCATGCCTTAGGCTTTTACTGCATGATAAGTCATTCAGAAAGTCCTGGGAAATATTTCCATGCAGTGGAAAGAGATATTTCTTGCTTGCATTCCTTTCTGTAAGGAAATTCAACTTCTCTTCAGGGATCCAGCAAGCAGGAAGAACTGAGTGGGCACAGTCTGTTTGAACCTCTTTGGGGCTGGGGCAGATGAGGGAAGGAAGTACCTGACTCAGAGCTGAACCCTTTGGATAGGAGGGCAGGTACCAGGGAGGAGCCAAGGTGCACAGAAGGCCATGATTTGAGTGTGGAGATAGCATTGGTAGGATGGGGTATGAGTCTGAGCATGGACTGGTAGCAGTGGGGTCCTGGGGGCTCAAGCTTAATAACGGGGAGGAGCAAGTGTAAATCCCAGTCCAGGCAGTTCCCCCGAGCCATGTCCTGCTCACACTCACAGCAGCGATGATAGAGAAAGTCCTGCTCTGGCCACAGGGTGATACTGTCCTGCTGTGTGGTGAGTCCTCATTGCTGGCACAGAGGCACACAAAGCCAGGCACACCTATGGTTACAAGCTCAGGCCAACAGCAGATCTTCACTGCATGGTTTAAGTTGCTGTTGGCTTCCCCTTTCTTCATTTCAGTTTCAAGGTGTAGTGTCCCAAGACGTTGTGGCACATGCTCGGTGGGCAGTGGGCTCTTGGTGGGCAGGGGGGCTGAGCTAGGGGTGTGGCTTTTACTATTACAGTGATGACTTAACAGACAAAGTCAATGGCTGGGGCGAGTTCTCACCACAGAAACAGTCAAACCTGGATATATAATATCCTGGATAAGAAGAGTGTTATCTTGTTTTCCCCCTTTCAAGGACCTAGGCTGTCAGTTTTCTGTTTTCTGCATTCCTGTGGCTGTTGCTTCCATTGCTTAACTGCTTTGTTCTTTATCTTGTTATTTGGAACTTTGCTCCTGCTATTCATCAATTCTCTACTTTCAGACTTATGATTCTTCTTATACATATTGTAAGTCTCGCTTTGCAGCCATCTCGTGTTTCCTGAAATGAATCACAGGGATGATAAGGTAAGTCAACTGCTTCATGATTTCCCAAGTGTGAATATACAGTGCTACAGTTAAGACAAAACTTACCAGTATTAGGAAAACAAGTTGTGTCTCTTGTTCCTCTTGGAGAAGTGAGGGTCTGCCCATGTAGCCAAGTTAACCATCCTGCACAGGGAGCACTTGGGAATGGTGAGCACATTGGCTTAAGTGCAGAAGTACTAATCTGCATTACTAATTCCACCTAAGAAACCAAAATGGATTAAATAACACTTGTTGCCAATCTGCATTTTTGATTGCATATGGTCCAATTTCAAAAATTTGAGGAGGCAAAATTTTCTCATCCTTTTTGATTGGGGCAGGTTTCAGTAATATCTATTTTGAATTTAAATGTTAGTCCCACATTATGGTGGTCCTAAAGACATACCATAAAAACAGGTTCAACCAGGGTAAAATTGTACCAACAGTCCCATCTTTTGGCAGCAGAAAATTTGCAATCTTTTGCTCTTAGTTCTGTTGTTCAGTTAGACAGAGTAGTCTGTGTGGCTTTCCCATTTGTAGATCCACTGATCATTCTGGAGCCTGTCTGAATTTTTTCTTGAGTCATTCCCCTCAGGAAAAAAACCTAGCTATTTCTGTTCCCCCCCCTCCTCATGTTCTGAGTACACTTGAGCTCCATGCATGACCATAGTAGCTAAATTGTACGCTAAAATTCACACTTCGTGTGAAAAGTGATACTCAGAGAATGTTTATATTGTCAATGGGTCATCTTTTCATAGTGTCCTTTCCACATGGCTGTCAGTGTTATCCTGGACAACAGCAGCAACATATTGGATACTGAAGTTAGGTATGGGGTTTGGCAAACAGCTAGTTGTGCTTTTGTATCCTGTGCAGCACACTTCCACTCCCCAGGCTGGTAGCAGGGAATATCAATAGGAATGTCAGTGATCAAACGGGGCTTGAGTTAAAGCTGTCCATGTGCCAAATAATTATTCTTACTTTTAAGGCCAAAAATAGCACAGTGCATCTAACATACCAATGGCTGATACATGCTTCCTACAGAAAGAATATTAGTAAAACCTTCAGAATTCTATTCTTTGGCCTTTTGTTTCTGAAGAAAACCAATAGCCAGTGCAAAGTTGTGGGATCTGATTCTCAGGGCCTCTATGACCATTACTTTCCATGAAGTTGAACGTTATTTAAGTGTTCAGAGAAGTACATTCGGGAGAGATGATGTGCTCGGTGCAGAAGGGAGCTATAGGAGATCCCCTTTGTGGCATAAATCAGGCAGCTGTACAGTCATTACTGTGGATGGGACAGCTCTGCTAAAGGGTCCTGGCACTGCTGCTGCAGGGAGGTGTGGGAATGCCCAATGGTCTGGCACAAGGCAGGCTTTGGTGGAAAGGAACTTCCAGGTACTGCCTGGGGAAAACTTTCTGGGGTAAAAAGAGGCCCTAACAAGAATTTGGGAGGTCTAGTTTTGATAAACTCAATACCATGGGTTTACTAAATGTGAAGCAGGTGCAAGCTCCTCTTCTGCTGTAGGATGGATCTTGTGGAGCAGGAAATCCTGGCAAGTGATCTGTTCCATGTCCTGCTCTGTCAGGTGGTGTCCCCTGTGGGGGCATTACAGGAAGTGTTTTGTATTTACTTTTTGTGTCAGTAGCACTTACTGGTCTTTGGAGGGATTCTGAAAGATCTGTATAGAGAACAAACTTGACTGTTTTTCTTAATTATAAAATATATTTAAGCAGTTTATATAATTAAGAGCACTTCCTTTTCAAAGAAAGGCACTCTTTTCTTCACCTGTTGTATTTTGACAGGTGCACTGTCAGGTAGGTGCGTTAACTTCTCTGATTTATTTACCTCTTTATTAAGGTATCCTGCTTATAGTTGTATTCTTAATAACAAGAGCTAAGCAGGAAACAAAAACTGTTTTGAACTTCTAAATAGTAGACAACTTACTTTTTCATCCTCTTTGTGCCTTCCATTCTGTGTCATTTCAGGTTGTGTTTGCCCCATCATTGATGATGCTGTGAAGAATCTGTTGGGCTTTCTATTGTAAGGAATTTGTTTAAGTTAATGAAAGCAAAGTATTAAGCTTGAACTATGTAAATCTGAATTGCCACTAAGTTCAGAACATAAGGAACAAAACCAGGAGGTTTGCTAGAAGAATCAAGTCCCTGCAGGAAGCCTGTTTTCAGGCTTCTTAAGGACTGTTCCCAACGCTGGAGGCATTACATGAGCAGGACATGCTTTCAGGGAAGTATTTCTGCTGCTGATTTTCATGTCACCGTGTTGGAGGGCACAGTGTTGGTTAATATGCAGTTGTTTTTATTCGTAGCCCTCCAAACACCTTACAGAGATGGGAATGACTGAAGTCAAGTGACAAGGAAAGCAGTGGAAACATGTTTCAGTGCATGCTGGTTGGTTCAGTGTCTTGCTCAGGTTGGTAACGTCACATGTGCTGTTTGATGACTTGAGATACACATGTTTTGTTGGACTTCTCTGCAGGGAGGAGTTTCTTCCAGGGCAGGGAAGAGTCCCTGCCCTTAAGCACTTGCCAGTCCCAGGTTGGGTGGTGCTTGACAGAGCTGCTTGGGAATTTGGGAGTGTGCACCTTGTCACTGGTCTGGCAGGAGCTGCTCAGTACACAGACTGAGGCCAGAACTGAGAGGATGTGATTTCTGACTCTTGTGTGAAACTACAGCAGATGAAATGGCAAAGAAATTATACATGGCAGGTCTGGGTAGTTGCAATATAAAAGAGAACTATAGCACGAGACTTAATTTTAATAAAAAAAAATATTAGCTGCTGTTTAAAGCCTCTATCCTTTTCAGGACATACTTGTTCAGCTTGTTCCTCTCTAAGTGGTATGCGCAGATTTGCAAATCATTTCAAGCACAGTAACTCCTGCCTGGCATACAAGCCCCCAAAGTTCTGGTGAGTGGTGCATACATAAGCTCAGTCATTTCCTAAGCTCACCCTTAGGTCCAGCAGTAGAGGAGTATATTTCCACAATGTAAAAAACCAAAATAGCTCATTGGTCTAATAAGTGTCATCTACAATACTCATATTGTAATTGTTCCTGTGGTGCACAACTCCCACACCAGGTTCCCAGGAAAGCACCTCTTTGTTTGGAAAGCCTCGCTGTTGTTGATGACCCTGTCCCCACATTCTACCATTCCTCCTGTTCCCTTCCAGCCCCTTCTCACGGCTCTCCCCTCAGCCTGTGCAGGACAGGCATTTGCAGCTGGTCAGGTGGTTGGAGGAATGTACACTTCATGCTTTTGGACAACAAGAGGTTAGGTGTCCTGAGACTCTGTGCAGATCCTGGGATTCCTTTTTTTTTCCCCTTCAGCCCTATAGCACTGTCTGACACTTTCTTGTCCTCCCAACTGTCAGCTGAAGGGCTACTGGCTGCCAGCACTCTGCAGAACACGCTATTGAGCCAGGCATGTACTCTTACCTGTTCTCAGTCTTGCTCAGCTCCTGGAAACATTAAAGGCACTTTGATGTCCCTGGTGAAACCAGTCATAGTTTTATTCAGCAAAACCTTGCAGAGAACAATGATTCAACATAATAGCATGTTTCTTGTTCTTGTCATACCTGGCTATGGATTCTACTTCTGGCCATTATGCCACTCTTGCTCTACTTTAATGAAAATCTTCTTGAGAATTTTATGAACAGAAATTTCAGTCTGGCACTTCATTTATAACAGGCTACCAATGTTTAATTCATTCTGAATCAAACAGAAGGACTATTACAGCTGTGAAGTCTGAGTATTGCTGAGTCTCCAGCTAACAGAGTCTCTCCAACTCTCCAGTCATTTGCTAAGGCAATTTTACAGAGGTTTGACTTATATCAAGAGTAGCTTAAGCAGTTTCAAAGGTTGTTCATTATTCTGTGTGGGCTGGATTTGCCACAAGAGGTTGCTGTATGCCTACAGCTCTTTCCAGCCCCGCCAGCTGAGCTGCCTTCAGAAATAACAGCTGTTTTCTGCCAAGGAGGTGTATTTTGATCTGCTGGATTTGTCCTGGTTTCTTGGATTTCAAGCAGGAGCTACATGAAGTGCATGAAAATTTCCCCCCTACATTTTTTACTAAATTGTATTACTTGTTGTGTCCTGTACCAAGAGTAACTTTTTATGTACTGTCTGTTATGTTCCTTCAAAGATTCTCTGTGGCTGAAGGAATTTTCTGATCAGTAGTTCTTATCAGTATTTCAAATGTCACTGACTCCTTAGGAGTTCAGAGATGTGCCCATACTGCAGATTACCTGTAGAAGCAAGGCTGGAATCCAAATTCTGCTTGTTCTGAAAGTACAAGAGCTGCTTTTGGTGTCATGTAGAATCTTAATTACCTACCAGCATTATTGGGAAGTGCAATACACTATTCAGCTTCTCCTGCAGCTTCCTCTCGCTCCATTCCTGTGACTGCAGACTACTGGCGTAACTCCATGTTCGAAGGGATGTGTCCCAGGTTTGTTCCTCCTGCTGGAGGATGCAGCTGGCTGTCTCTTGAGCAGTGCCTGTACCTCTTGTCATGGATGATTACACCTGCACAGATTGAATAACATTTCTTGTCTATCCCAGAGAGTTTATTCCCCATCTCTTGTTGTTTCTGTGATTCACCGGAGCAACAGAAAAGACACAATTCCCCACACGACCTCCAAAAAATAATGCAAAAGTCAAACAAGGAAGTAATGCTTATGTGCTGATGAAATAGAAAACTTGCTGGGCAACTTAGATCTACTCTTGCAATACTTTACCTCTGACTTAAAATTGCTTTAGCCTTCTGTGTTCATTGTCAGTCCAGGCTCTCTCATGAGATAGGATGTACTGCTTCCCTTTTCCTTTGTTTTGTAAGCAGCATCTGATTTTGTGTAATGAAACTGTGTGGATTCTGGCTAAAAAGTAATACTTGAACAGAAAATCATTCAGGTGTAAGTATATATTTGCAGAATGAGTCCCTCCCCCATCACTTTATAACAGCAGTTCTTATGGTCAGTGATTGGGCTCATTTGCCGTTCTACCTCCCTGTGCCTCCCAGGAGTGCGCCCCTGGCAGC